CTTGTCATCGCGCAGGATCTTGACCTTGCAGCCAGTAGCATTCTCTGCATAGGCTTTGAAAGTCTTAAAGGCGCTCAGGGCTTCGCTCTTTTGACGCAGGAACATGACAGCCCAGAAACGCGAAGCATCATCTACAAAGACAATCCAGTAGAGATAGCCCTCTGGAGTTGCAGTAGGCATAGGTCCCTTGAGATCTGTGTGAACAAGAGCGAGTCTGCGCTGTGTCCTGGAGGCTGTCTTGGGTACATTGTGCCTGTGCATCTTGCCAGCAAGACAAGGCTCGCATATAGGGTCTGGTGCAGCAGTAGAGCGGATGGTAAGGCCAGAAACAAGCTCCCAACAGAGCTCTGGCATGGGGTAAATAAAACCACTTTGTTGTGTCCTCTGCACTAAGGTTCAGTGCATGGGACATCCCGTAAACTATATACATGCACTTCGCACGGACCCGAGACGGTACAACCGTTGACAATGCCCACAATTGCCTTGCCACTAAAGATCTATTGCCCTTTATTTACCACATCTCGTAATCCCGATGCTCCTTCCTCTCGGTGATGACTTTGCGCAATACCCACAGTAACTCCGATGGCCACCAGGCTGGCACGCCGATGGCTGCCCCGAAGGCTAAGCCATCAACTGGGAAACGCGCTGGAAAGCCGCCCCATCCCACAAAAGAGAATACACCTGCGCCTGGCGCGCAGAGCCTTGGTATGGCGAAATACTATGTACACTATAATCTCCCGCCTCTAACAAGCAATAGGCGATGCACCTGAAGACGGGAACTTCAGCATGCAAGCCGGTGATAACGTCCTGCCAGGGGGACTCATACCCCGCGAAGTGGCACATCCACAAGGGGAAAACGACGGCCGCGCTCCAGTCGCCGACAAGCCGCCCTCCCTCACCTACAGTGCCACCAACCTGCGCCTTGACAAAGGCAAGGGCAAGGCGGCGCTCACATCAAATAACCCGTTCACGGCACTAGAGGCATCCGGGTTCCTGGAAGACACATCCGATGACCTAACCCCCCGCCCTCTGAGGCTGATGATGACAAGAAGACGCCGCAACCGCCGCCTACGCTGCCCAAAGTGACCCGTCAGGCCTCTACCCCGGTGCCCGGCCCATCCTTCCCCTGGTCCCGCATAGGGTCCTCGGCCTCAACCAAGGCGACGCCTACCACGTCTCTGTCGGCCGCCGATCTAGAACGCCGGGTCCATGCTGCCACGAACAATGCGCGAGGCTCCGCACCCACCGGCGGCCACCCCCCTCGCCCATTCCGCCCTAACCCGTACTCCTACAGCGAAGCCTGCCGACAAGACGACCCCCCGCAGAATGACCGTCCTGGGCCTGATAATCACTTCCGCTGCAACCCACCCTACCAGCGGGAGCATTCCATTGACCCGTACCATGATGCCCCACTGTACGAGGACGAGGGTGAATTTTACGATGATCGACGCCCAGACACCCGCCGTCAGGGAGGCGGACGTCGCCGCTACTAGGCCCAAACGCTACACTATTACTTCTTGCATGACACCTGCCATGGTGATGTCATGCTGATACCCTTTGCTTTAATTCATCCCCAATGATCCAATCCTTTCCAAAAAGTAAAACAAAAACAAATTATTTCCTCTATCGGGACACTTTGTAACCCCTCCCGCGCTCCTTATCATGGACACCCCCTTATTATGTATCCTCATCTTTAAATCCACCAGACTACAGATATGATGGTGACCTGTCCTAGGCCTGCTCTAGCATGTATGTCTATATACCTGGGCTGCACGATGAAAATGCTGTTAGTCCTGGCACTCGGGAGCTGCATGACTGACACCACCCCCCTCTGGGATGCGGAGCGGTGGATAACCCTGATAGATCGCTCGCCCAAATATACTGACCACCTCTGTGGGACAGGAAAGTGAAATGATCAGCATCCCCGCCTGGCAAAGTGCCTACGGCGGCCTATTTAGGCCTGGACGTGCCGTGGAGAGATCCTGAAGCTTCTGTTGAATGCAGGCCAGCACCTGAATGCTGGCCTGTGAGTAAACCTTAGCATTGTCCACCGTGATGACCGGTATATGTCACCCCTGACCTGCAGTATAGTCGTAATGCAGGCTAAGTACATCGACACCCACCCATCCAAATAACTCTATACAAAATAACACTGGTCTACTATCTGGTTCTGGTTCATTCCTCCTAGGGCAGGGAGGAGACGAAGAGCCTGCTGTCGCCCTCCCCTCCCATGATCTGCCCGAGGAGCTCGGTGACAGCACCGGTACCCCACCGCCCCCCCCCTGCTAGTCGCTCCTGTGGCTCAGCTACGACAACCTCTGTGAACTCCTCTCAGTGCTGCGGCCCCCCTCCACCGCATTCCCTTTCAATCGCGTGTAGCACACATGTCTTCATCCGGCCGCAAGACACATGCAAACATCCGTCTAGCCTCCCTCAACATGAATGGATGGGCAGCCTTGTCACTCGGCCCCACCGCTATATCCAAATGGACAGCCATAAATGCTGAAATGAAAAATAAGCATATTGGAATCCTTGCAGTACAAGAAACCCACCTGACGGCAGCAATGGTGGACAATATCCACCACCTTTTTGGTCGCCGCCTGTGAGTCATAAACTCATCTGATCCAGATTGTCCTAGTGCATCTGCCGGTGTTGCCTTTGTCCTAAACCGTGAAATAACTGATGTAGGAAACTGCCAAACCTGTGAAATAATACCTGGCAGGGCCCTGTCACTCACCACCACCTGGCATAACTCGGAAACATTTACCATCATCAATGTCTATGCCCCGAATGATTATTCGCAGCACCCCACCTTTTGGGAAAACATTACATTGGGCATTAGGACCCTCTCAATACCCCTCCCTGACTTCATGGTTGGAGACTTCAATGTGGTGGAAGAACTGGTTGACCGGTCCCCGCCACGGCCTGACCCCCTTGCTGCAACTAATGCCCTCCGTGAACTGAGGCTAAACCTTGGTCTAACTGATGGCTGGCGTCATGATAACCCAGACGAACGGGCATACACTTACACCAGCAACCGGCACCATATGCCAAGAATTGACAGAATCTACACGAAACCCACTCACCTCCCATACCTCCATGGATGGCACAAAACACCAACAAGCATACCCACTGACCACTGCCTAATCGAGGTCCAATTCTCCCCTCCATCTGCCACCTTTGTGGGTGTGGGCCAATGGACATGGCCCCTGGGTCTGCTAAATGATCCAGCTCTACTGCAACAAATCCATCAGCGCAGATGTGAATTACTAGAAACACTCACTCTGCTGTCAAAAAACCGGTCCACTGACCACAATCCCCAGACCGCCTGGAAAACCTTTAAATCTGACATTGCCAGCCTCGGCAAGAAACATGCCAAAGTTGTCCTCGCAAAAATCAGCAGGAAGATAACTGACCTTGAGGCAGACATCAAGGACAGCCTGAACCATCCCACACTGGGAAGTGGTGAGGCATCACAAACGAACGCGGCCTTCCTGCAAAATGAACTTGACCATCTCATTAAAAAGCGCTTCCGCAAAGCACGCACCGTTGGTCAAGCCCAATGGGCAGTAAAAGGAGAAGTCCCTAGTACATACCTCAGTAAAGTCTACAAAGAACGCAAACCCCGGGACATTATACAATGCCTTACTGTGCAAACACCCAATGGCCCTCAGTACATCACGCGGACATCTGACATGGCACAAGTCGCTCGGGACCACCATAACAGCCTTCAAGACAAATACCACACGAACTGCGATGCTGCGGTGCTCAACGAGGCGCTACAGGAAGTCCTAAAATCGATCCCCGATGAGCAGTGCTTCAAGCCAAGTGCACCGCATGAGCTCGAGATGCCACTAACTTACGCACAAGTGCAGGCAGCACTGACAATGTCAAAATCAGGCTCAGCGACAGGGATTGATGGTATCCCATATGAACTGTGGAAAATACTTGACGAGACTCACACCATGAATGTGAAGCAAAATAAACTTTCATTTGATGTGGTCAAAGCGATGACAGCGGTCTTCATAGACATCCAGACCCATGGTGTTGTTTCCTCCATGAACTTTACCATTGGCTGGATGTGCCCCATCTTTAAAAAAAAGGAATGCGACAACATAGCCAACTACCGACCTATAACGCTCCTCAACACCGACTACAAAATACTTACAAAATCTCTGGCGCTGAGCCTGGCGAATGTTGCGCCCGCGCTCATCCATCGCGACCAAGCTGGTTTTGTTCCGGGGTGGTCGATTTTTGATCACATCCGCCTATCCAAAGTCATGATCGACTTTGCTGAAGCTACGGAGTCCAATGGCACCATCATAGCCCTTGACCAGGAAAAGGCCTATGATAAGATCAACCATGAGTATCTATGGCAAGTTCTCCAAGCGTTCCACCTACCTGAGATCTTCATCCGCACCATTGCCTCCCTATATGGCAATGCACACACCCATGTTATGATTAATGGCATCCTGAGTGCCCCCTTCCATGTTACCCGCGGTGTCCGTCAGGGTGACCCTCTATCCTGTCTCCTATTTGACCTAGCTATTGAGCCCCTGGCGTGCCTTCTGCGATCCTCTGCCCGTCTCACTGGGTATGACATCCCTGGAGTTTCTGATAAAATTCTTGCCACACTCTTCACTGATGACACTACAATCTACTTACCAAGAGGCAACCGCCTGTCAGAACTCCAGCAAATCCTTGACACCTGGTGCACGGCTTCAGGTGCGAAATTCAACACCGACAAAACTGAAATCATCCCAATCGGGTCTATGGAACACCGGCAAACGGTCATCACATCCCGTCGTTTGCACCCAGGTGATGACCCAATTCCCATATCTGTCCACATCGCTAAAGATGGGGAAACTGTCCGCTCCCTTGGGGCATGGATTGGGAATGGCATCGATGCCCTCTCCACCTGGGAAATCATCCTTGACAAAGTTGATCTTACACTCAAACGTCTTGGCCGTGGCCATCCCACTCTGAATAGTAAGAGGCATATGGTCCAGCACATAGCTGGTGGTATGACACAATACCTAACTAAAGTGCAAGGCATGCCAAAATCAGTAGAGGCTGCCCTTACCAAGGTTATCCGCTGCTTCATCTGGGATGGTGCTACCCAATCCCCCCTTGCGCTTGAACACCTGTACCTCGACATGTCTGAAGGCGGTATCAGCCTCCTTGACATTCAGGCCTGAAATGATGCCATTAAACTCACCTGGCTGCGAGACTACCTGAACCTGAGCCCAACCTGCCCAGCCTGGGCATTTATTACTGACATCCTCATCAACCAACTGGCACCCAAAGGCATCTCAGACTCCACCACACTTAATACCTTTCTCCAATCCTGGGATGCCCCAACCCAGGGTAAGCGGGCCGCCAGCCTGCCGAATGATATTATTGAGATGCTCCGAGTTGCGAGAACATATAATGTCACCTTTGCCCCGAAAAAGCTTGCCCGACACCTGAAGGAACAACTCCCTGCCTTCCACCACCTAGGTGTCCCTCCACGTACCTATGATTCCCGGGTAATGGACTGCCTGATGACTGATCACAAATCCTCCACGGTGGGAGGCCTGCTCCAGATCTCCCGTCGACTTACGCCTACTCCTGGACATAGAGTGCACTACCCACGCTCCTCCTGCGCCTGCGATGGCTGTCGTGCCGACAGGGTGGCAGGCTGTCTAAATCCCCATAAATGTGCCACCGCTGCGCAGAGGATCCTCCAGGCCCTACCAGCAATCTCAAACCCAGGTCACTGCCCACCAGATGATAACTTAACCCTAACTCACCACCGTTTGGAAAAAAACCGTCAGGCGCGCCTCGCCCGCGACCGCATTACTTTCAACCCCACCATGATGCTCAAGACATCTCTTGCTGAAGTCTTCAGATTTCCGCCAATGTCGATGCTAAACAGATCTCCCCGGCCTATCGGCTTGCAGCGCCTGCCCCGGGTGTTAATCTGGAGGATGAGCACATAACCCTGTACACGGATGGCTCATGTGAGGACAACGGAAACTCACCGCTCGCACAGGAGCTGGCATTTTTGTTGCACCTAACCACCCCCTCAATCGGGCACTCCGTGTCCCCGGACCTCTCCAGTCTAACCAAGTTGGAGAACTGTCCGCTATTATTGTGGCGCTCCAACTGGTTGATTGCTTCGCCCCTGTGACAATCATATCCGCCTCCCTGTATGCCATTGAAGGACTCACCTCCCACCTGGGCAACTGGGAGGATAAGGGCTGGATTAATGTCTCGAATGCCCCATTCTTCCAAGCTGCAGCTTACCAACTCCGTCGGAGATCTGCAGCCACACACTTCCAGTGGATAAAGGGCCATAGCGGCCACCCAGGCAATGAGGCTGCTGATGCCCTTGCCAAGGAAGGTGCCCGAAAGGACATCCCTGACAATATTGACATTACTGTCCCTGACAAATTTCTTCTCGAAGGAGCAAAACTATCAGAACTCACCCAGTCAATCACCTACAATGTTATGATCAAAAAACTTTTTCACGATCACACGTGTTTGACACACGCACACAGAACCGCACAGACATTGCAACCATGCATATCTCATCTTAAAAAACCCTTTCACGATCATTTATTATTTACGCATTGCTGCCTCACCAATTATAAACTATTCTACATTAATAACGACTGGTTTCCACATTCTCTTAGATACTCATGTAAACCTTTCCATTGACGCATGTACAAGTATATTTGGACATCCTGCAATATATAAGCCGCGACAGCAAAGGTCTCAGACCTTAGCTTCGATCTGGCATTTCATTCATGTCATTAGATCGAAGCTCCCTCTCCGCCTTCGCGTCGACATTGTCGATATCCCTCCATATTCTTCTCTCACCGTGGCACCTGTAACAAGGAGCCGAACACGGTACTCTCTTCGATCCTACCCATCCTACACCACCTACATTTATCCCATATCCGAACCCCTATTCTATCCCATCACACCCCACGCTCCAAGACAGATTCAAGAAAGACAGCTGAAGGCTATCAGGCGCTACAGACGGCACCTAGATAGAAATATAACCCTTTACTACTAACCGTTTGAATCCAATGCCTGTATTCAAGGGTGGTGCGTACGCACTAAGCTGGGCGAAAACCTACACGCATAGCGCGGGCTGTGGACACAGGGACTACCATATCCCCATCAGTCGCAGTGTTTGTAGGGAAGTAGTGGCACCGTAGTGACTCTTGAGAGTCAGCGAAAGTGGTGTGAGGGAGCTTAGAAAAGCAGCAATATCCTACCTTGGGTACAGAAGCTCCTGGGCTCGTGACCCTTGAGCGAAGAGGCAGACGCTGGGTACCAGACCAGAAGACCCGGGTCAGACAGCCTTGCAATCATTCCTATTCCTATCCATTAGCACCGACATCTACCCGAAATCTGTGAACTAAGTAGCAGATTTTGGTTCTTCCAACGAAGTTCGCACCACGGCCGATCACCGTTATCAGATCAACGACGAAACCCCTTGGTTCGGACCAACCCGACCATATTCACCAATTTCATATTCCACCACCCCACGTTCACCCCAGTCAGAAACCTCTGACGATATCTATCCACCCGACCTAAATCCCATAGCCATCCAAACCCTAATTGCCAGAGCAATGGCAGGCGAAGACGACCAGAAAGAAAGGAAAGGGCATGTTGCTAAGCCCGAGTACTTCGACGGAAACAAGGCCAAGTTCAAGGCCTGGTGGAGACAGGTACTCACGTACCTGAGAAACAATAAGAAGGATTTCGGTACGGACGATGAGAAGATCGACTTCGTCATCTCATATCTCAGAGGCCCCAAGGCAGAAGTTTGGTCGCAAAACTATTACGATCAACACTTCAGAGAGGAGACAGAAAGCTGGGGAAAGACATGGGCGGTTTTCAAAACGGAGATTACCAACGCGTTTCAGGATTTGAATCTTGCTGCACAGGCACAGATCGAGATTGACCATCTGCGCCAAGGACAGAGACCAGTTGAAGAGTATTTTCAGGAATTGGAAATACTAATGACGCAAGCCGGGTACAAGAAAGAAGATCAGTATATCCTGAAAACCGTCCGTACCAGCGTCAACGAGGCACTTGTCGACAAGGTTTACGGACAAGTCACGGTGCCAATGACATACGACGGATGGAAGGATGTACTGATCAAACTCGACAACGCCTGGCGGGAGCGTCATCAAGAGAAGGCCATGCGGGGCCTGAGAACAATACTGCCTAAGAAGGAAGGAGCGCCAGCGCCTAACGCCACAAATCAGACGCAGGCCACGCAAAGAGCACAACCGCCACAGAGACGTGACGGGACGGGAACAACGTTCATGGGAACAGGACAACCCATGGACGTAGACTGGGCATGCTTCAAATGCAAGGCCAAGCAGTCGGACACAGGAACGTGTGGAAGTGCGTGGCACATTCCCAACAGGAAGGGAAGAACCACAAATCAGGTCAGACAGGTGGATTGGACAAAGCCGACATCCGATTTCATCTCGGCAATCAAGGAGTGGTCAAGGAAGGATTCAAAGCAGCGGGTTTTGGCTTCGGCACAGCTTGAGCGCACCAAGCTCCATGCCTTTCAATTCTCATAATAAATATTCTGCGCTAGTCATAGAAGAACCAACTCCGAACAGTATCTATATTCAGAATGTCTCCATGCAATTTTACAAAGAACTTGAGTCCAAAGTAGCACAGGATGTACTTAATGCTACAGAACCAATCAAACAGGCAGAGGAGTCTTCTTCACAGAGCTTGGCAGGGCCTTAAAACCTGTGCTTAATTCCTCGAACAAAAAACAAAAACATTCAGAAAAAGATCGAGTGCGACGATCACAAAAACCAAAAAAAGAGATTCCTATCTTTCCTGAAGGACCTAAATTATTCAGGGTCGTACGAGGGTTAAAAAACGGCATGCAAATGGACCCGCCATTGACGCTCATGCAACTTGAGACTGAGAAAAGAAATGACGTGATAGCGCTCCTAGATACCAGGTGCACGGGTTCTTGTATCAATGAGAATACCGTTGTAAAACTCGGGTTAGAGCGACATCGTTTCGAAAACGATATACCAGTATTTAATGCAGACGACACTCTAAATGCGGCTGGTAACATCACCGAATATGTTCGAGTGAAGGGTCAAATCGGACACCATGAAGAAGTCTTGAATTTGCTAATCACAAATCTTGGCAAATCAGACGTTTGTCTTGGTTACGAATGGCTTGACTTCCACAACCCCGAAATTGACTGGCAGAAACAACTGCTGAATTTCACGCGTTGTCCACCGCGATGCGCAGAAATGCGTAAAACCCAGCAAATTAACCAAGTCGAAATCGAGGAGGAAGACTCCATCTTTATGATTGACCCCAACACCTGGATAAGACAGAAAACCCAAAATAAGAGGGAGTACGCGCGTTATTTATCAGCCAAGATGCTGCGAGCCACCACACTGGACATTGCTATTGAGGCCAACAAATCTAAGAAAGCAAAAACTTTCGAAGAATTGGTCCCGGAACAGTATCGTCCATTCAGTGACGTATTTAAAGAGGAAACATTCAATACGCTTCCAGAACATCGACCATGGGATCATGTCATCGAGCTTTTACCAGACAGTAAACCCTATTCTGGAAAAGTTTACGCAATGACGATCGATGAGCAAAAAGCGCTGGATGAATTCCTTGAAGATAACTTAAAGACTGGCAGGATCCGACCCTGCAAGTCACCCTGGGGAGCACCATTCTTCTTCGTCAAGAAAAACGACGGAAAACTGTGACCAGTCCAGGACTATCGCAAGTTGAACAAAATGATGAAGAAAAATAAATACCCCTTACCACTCATTGCGGACCTGATCAATAAATTAAAGAATGCAAAATATTATACGAAACTAGATATTCGCTGGGGATACAACAACATTCGCATGAAGGAAGGAGACGAAGAGAAAGCTGCTTTTATCACCAATCGCGGGCTCTTTGAACCACTCGTCATGTTTTTCGGGTTAACCAATAGCCCGGCGACCTTCCAAACAATGATGAATGATATCTTCAGAGCATTAATTATGCAAGGAAAAGTGATAGTGTATCTAGATGATATACTCATTTTCTCCGAAACCCTAGATGAACATCAAAAGATTGTCAAGCAGGTCTTCGAAATCCTCCGAGAGCATAAATGAACCTGCAAACCAGAAAAGTGCGAGCTTGAAACTGAGGAAACGGAGTATTTAGGTCATATTATTGGTCAAGGAACCGTTCAGATGGATCCTAAAAAGGTCCAAGGTGTCACGCAATGGCCGACGCCAACCAACAAAAAGGACATCCAACAATTCCTGGGGTTTGCAAATTTCTACAGAAAGTTCATAAAGGATTTTGCTGCCATCTCCCAACCTATGACCAAACTCACCAGACAAGCCGAGTGGACATGGGGACAGGAGCAACAGGAAGCGTTTGAAACCCTCAAAACAGCCATTACAAAAGCACCAGTACTGACAGTACCCAACGACCATGACCAATATCGCATAGAGTGTGATGCATCTAAATATGCACTAGGAGCAGTGCTCTCACAAAACCAAAATAATACATGGAAACCCATTGCATTCCTATCTAAAAGTCTCAATCTGGCAGAACGTAATTATGAGATCTACGACAGAGAAATGCTGGCAATCATGACAGCACTCGACGAATGGGACAATTTCCTTCGCGGTGCAAGACAGCAATTTGAGATTTATACTGATCACAAAAATCTCGAATATTTCAGAAAGCCGCAGAAACTCAATCAATGCCAAGCGCGCTGGGTCCTAGAACTCCAAAACTATGATTTTACCCTAATCCATCAACCGGGTAAAACTATGATCAGGGCAGACGCATTATCCCGTAGACCGGATCATGATAAAGGCGATTCTGACAATGAAAATGCTATCCTATTAAAACCTCACTGGTTTAGAAGCACGGAGGTGCTAGGCACCGAAGCCTTAAAAACCAAAATATTATCACACGTACATAATTATGAAGAATCCA